CTACACACCGCAGCCTAGGCTAGAGGGACCTTCCTAGTGGTCAGTCCACAGGAACTGCAGACCAGAGAAATCACAAGACTTGCCCAGCATCCCACAGCATCCTTAGGGGAACTGGCCAGGCTGGACCCAAGTCTTCTGATTCAAAATTGGGCCCTGTTTCTATTGTTTAGAAAGTGCACAAACCTGGCTTCAGACCTCAGGGACATTATGAGGAAAGAATCTATAAAAATGCTTATTAAGATCTTCGCCAATTCCAAGCGCCCGGTCTGTGCCGAATAATGGATAGGCCCTGCTCCCGCTGCTTAGAGACGACCCGCAGACCTCTTACGAGAAGGCTGGGGTTATAGCAACCATTTCTTTCACTCTGTCTATAAAAGAAATTGCCAGGAAAATCAAGAAGGAGTGTGCTTCCCTGTTGGTCAGGGAAAGGCCCTGGCCCCTGGGAGCCATAGATCTAATTTATGGCTTCCATGAAAGGAGAGGAGAAAGCACAGGGCCACTGTACAGAGGTGGGGGTGCTGTGGGACACCCTGAGTCACAGCCATGTCCCTTCCAAGGCTGCAAGGCTCTGGGAAAGGGCCGCTGGGCAGGCAGGGGCAGAGATGCCTGAGAACCTGACAGTCTGGTTACAGAGGAGGGGAGAGGTGGAAATGAGCGTGGGAAAGGCAGGGAATGAGGCGGATCTCCTCCATGAAAATGCTGGACTAGGCAAGGATGCGCAGGAGGAGGCCAAGGCGGTTTGCCACCGCCCCAGCCAAGCACAGCATGTGACCACGGGACTTCTCTGGCCAAAAGCCATGGCAGCAGAGGGATTACGCAGCAGAGAGCAGACCCAGAGTGGCCTTTAGAGCAATTTGCGCAGACTGGGCAGAGACATCCTGGCTGTACAAGTGGGAAACATCTCCCAGCTGACGAACTTGGGGACTTACGCCCTTCCCACATGGGCTGCAGCCCACCAAGTGTCTCCTCTCCGGCGTTTGTCTCAGCTCCCAAACAAGGCAGATTTAGGACTACTTGAATCTGCAGGAAAATTGGCTCCAACTTCAAAGAAACAGAATCAACAAACTCCAGCTTAAGTGGGAATTTGCCCTGACCATTTCCTTTCTATTTCACTCTGCACTGCCAGTTCCAAAGCCAGAGATTTTGCAGACGTCTTAGGCGGCTTTATGGTCTGCCCCGGGGTTTACGGAAGGCACACGCCTCCACACTCGGTCTGGACAGGCGAATGTCTAGGGTCAGAAGGGCCCGTAGTGTTCCCTGGCACCTGGGCAGAGCCCATGCTAAGGATGCTGTGTGGTTCCAGCTTAGCCTGACCCGACGAGGGCTGCCCCACGTACCCTGCAGCTGAAGGCAGAGACAACACTGTGCCCACGCTGGGGCTTACGGGGATGTTTGTCTCGAGTGCCCTCAGGCAGGACAGAAATGGCTTATGTGACCTTGGTCCCCCACTGGTGTCAGCCTGAGCTAAACCTGGGCTGCTCAGGGGAAAGGAAACAGGTGCAGGAGAAAGAGATGGAGCAGGTTCAGGATAGAGCAGAGCTGGGTGTTGGAGGACTTGGGTTGACAGCCAGGCCAGCCGCTTACTGGCCCCATGTCCTTGGTCAATTAATTTAACCCCCACACGTCTCCAGTTCTTCATCCTTGAAATGGAATCCTAGTGGAACCGACCTCACCGTCTCGGAAGGATCGAATGAGCAACGTGTATGTGTGGTATCAGTCACACCTCTAATAGGACTGTCACTTCTTGCCCTCTTGGGCTGTGCTTGGCTGGCATTGTCCTTGGCCTTGCAGGTGAGGAAATGGATACTGAACTGCTAAAGCTAACCAAAGTGCCCTATGTGTTCTGGAGTGCTCTGTGCCCAGAACATCACCGCACCGTGGGTTCAGTACCCTGAACTGCACGGCTTGCATCTGCTCATCAGCCACGCTGACTGGGCACCCTGCTCTGTGAGAGGAGGGCCATCACCTCTGTTCCCTTAGCAGGAGGGTGTTACTGAGCCCAAGATCCTTTGGCGACGTGGCTGGATGTTCTGGGTGGTGCAAATCAGACCACACTGCAACTCAGCTGTATTTGACCTGGGTATATCTGAATCAGGACCTTCTACTCCTGGCCATGGCCTCTACCAGAAGGTCCCCACTCCACTCCGGGGGGGCCAGCAGGTGGTGGGGTGGTTAAGGGTGCTGGACTCCCACATGGCCAACTATAGTTCGAGTCCTGGACTTGCCAGCTTGCTTTCTCACTTTCTCTCTCTCTCTCTCTCTGTCCCTCTCTGGTCAAATTAAAATAAATAAATAGATAGATATAGATAGATAGATAGATAAAGTTAAATACAATAATTCTTCAAAAAACTAGAAGAAAGTCCTCACTCCAGGAATGGCCGGAATAAGTTCTCTGCTCTCTTTGTCTCTGGTCAGCACAGGCATTTGAGAATGAGCAAAGTAAACAGTAGAAATGCATTCTCAGTGGTGAAGACTGAGGTAGTCAGGGTATGTGGGTTGGCCAAACCACTGTGAGAAGTACTTGACTCTGTAAAGTGTAGGTGAAAGAATGCAGTGAGATCCCGGGGAGATGTGGTGAGGGCAGCACAGAGACAGAGTGCTGGGGCTACGCCAGGCCCACAGGCCCCCGCTGGACCTGCTTGCGCATAAATATGGTTCAAAGACTGTCTATATGTGTGGCATAACTTGGGCTGAGGCATGCTCTCACTCAAACCTGGTCTGGGGGTTTGACTTCTTCCTGCAAGTTTTCAGTGACTGCGATCAAACAAAGAGAACAGCCGATCAAATAAACAGCACAATCAAGCCTGAGAATTACATCTGCACAGCCAAGGGCAGGGCTCAGGCCACTGCTCACCTATCACGGCCTCACCAGGACGAGTGAGGTTGAGTGACTTCTGGCGTCAGGCTGGACAGTGGAGGCAGGTCCCAGAGTGGCCTCCCAGCCAAAGACCCTCCCCCAGGCCTTCCTGGGTGCCCATCACCCTGAGAAGTCCCTGGCCAACCTTCTAGGTGGCATTCCCAGCTGGCACTCTGAAGCTCTGCTGGCTTCCTGGAATGAGGAAATGCCACTTAGCTCTCAATAATTCCTGAAACCATAGCTACCATGGAGGTCACCCCTGGGCCATTCCTCACCTGCCCTTTGGCCTGGAAAAAGACCTCTGGGCTGGGCCTCCCCTGCCAGGTTCTTGGGGAAAAACCCTGTGCTAGAGCTTTCGGGGTTCCATTGTCCGCTCCCACATCTGGATCAGGATATCCCAAAAGGAATATTGGACCACAAAATTCCTGTTTGCTGGAGAAACACCCCTGAAGAAATGGAGGCTCAACCTCTGCCCCAGGAGAAGCTAAGCTCCTGTCCCTGGCTCTGCTAGGGCTGCTGGGGAAGAGGCTGCATTGAGTGGCTTTAGTAAAGGGTACCCTCCCCCAGGAGAGATGCCCAGTGGTGGGAGCTACCACAAGCCAGGGGCCCCGTGTACACAGCGTGCCCATCTAAGGAGCTGCTGAGAGACTGACTTTGCTGCCGGCAGAGGTGATTGGGAGGAAAGGGGTTGGGGTTGGGGCAGTGCCAGCCTCTCACCTCTCCTCCTGTTAATCTTCTTCCTCTCCAGCACCTTTCAGGAGAGAAGTGTCAGGAGTCAGGGTGGGGAAGAGCTGGGCTGCAATGAACGGGGCAACTGTCCTCACCAGGGAGAGCTGAGGTTTGCAGCCTTCCAAATGCAGCCCGGCAACTCGGCCCTCGGCGGCAGCTCTGACTCTACAGGTGACTGCAGAGCTAGCCAGGCTCACCTGTTGCCCTCCTCAACTCCTGCCCACGGTGCGTGCCATCCTCCCTGTTCCCGTGCGCCCGCTGCCTTCTGTCCTCCCCTCTTTGAGGTCTGCTTCAGAACTTGCCTTCCTTCTTTCTCCCTCAGCCTGATCCAAATCTCAGGGTGCATTCACACAGTAAAAGCCATCCTGGTTAATCCCAAAGGATTTCCAATTAGTGGCATCTGAGGGCGCCCCCACCTGGCAGGGAAGCAAACCACTCAGATTGGCATTCATCTTCAGCCTTTGCCAGCAGCTCAACATCCCACTGAAACCAAGAGCCATCCCTGGGGGCTGCACAGCTCCCAGAAGGTTCTGGGAATTCCAGGCACTCCTTGTAGGGCCAAGGGGGTTTCCTGCCAGTGAGATTTACCTAAAGATCACAGCCGGTGGGAGCACGAGGAGCCTCTGGGATCCCTCTGAGCAAACAGCTAGACACCGCCGAATTATCTCCCTGCCAAGTCCCTCTTGGAGGGAGGCCAAGCTGGTTGATATGGAAGCGGGGACAGTCATTTAGCGAAAATCCATGAGTGCCATTGGGAGGATAAGGAGGACAGGTGCAAGAGTGCAAGGAGTGGGGGTTTTCGGGTGGGTAAGGAGAAGGGGGTATGAGGGAGGACCCCTTTTCTGTCACAGGTAAAAAGGGTTGAAGCTGGCCAGACCACATGGCAAAGCCTTTCTGGCTCCTCATTCAAGAAACGGTCTTCCTGTGAAGACCCTGTGAAGGTCCACGCGAGGAGCCCTGTCACATGGCTCTCGTTGCATCTGCATGTGACCCCTTTCATCCTCCTCCCTGGGCCTCGTCCCCTCCACCCCGGGATTTCCTGAAGCTGTCCTCCTGAGAGCACTGTTGAAGTCCTGCAGATCAGGCGTGTGGGCACGGATCTCTGTTCTTTCTCCAGCCACGTGAGGTGTGCCGAGTTACTGAGGCTCTCAGAGTCCCATTGGTAAAACAGGGGCAATCGTGTCCCTTGGAAGGACGATGGTGAAGGTGACGTGGCCACTGGATGTGAGGGATCCCAGGCAGTGCATGATGGGTAAGAACTGTCACCTCTCTGCTCTAAGAGCTATGTGTGGCTGCTTTGCCAAGGCCGTTGGAGGCATACTGGCAGGACCTCCGACCCTGCCCACGTGGCCACCACCTTGGGTTCCCAGGGCTCTGCCCAGTCCGTGCCACTCTCCACCCCCTGCCTGGTGAGGGCATGGCTGTCTGGGGCTTGGGACATGGCATGAGCCACTTCTCCCTTGGCACTTTGGGGAGAGCCCTGTGGAGTCCTTGGTCTCATCTGGGGTGACCTGGGAGATGGAGTTTGCGGGAGCTTGATTTGGAAGCACCTGACAGTGTGGGTAAGCCCGGCATGGCCAACGACCTCAGACCTCCCATCTTCCAGTCTTCCCAGAAAGACCCACGCAGGATGGAGCTGCCCCCAGGCACCGTGGGAATACAAACCAGCAACAGGCATTGGGAAAAGGCCAGGGAGCCCACCTGACTGGGGAGGGGAAGTCGGCTCCCCATGTGTGCTGTGGCCCTCCAACTGGCTACCGGGATGCCCAGCCTGCCCACTGACCTGCTCCTCCCCAGGGCCCTGTTGGGTTTGCAGCTCCCTCAGACTACCCTGGCTTCTGCCCTCAGAGCACCCTTGGGCCCAAGCACGGGGAGGGGGGGGGTCACTTCTCCTGACAGAGATAGCAACGTTGGGGCCATCTCTGCCAGGAGACAGAGGAAACAGGGTGGGCTCAGAGGCCACAGTAGACCTGGAGGGACTCTAGGGGGCCCTTCATCTCAAACGTGGACCCCGAATCTTAGCCCTGCAAGGCACCAGATGGAAGAGGGGAGATGGGGTCCAGCCCGCCTCACCAACTCCTCGGGGAGGC